GGAAAGCACGTCCCGGAACATCACTGCTCCTTGTGGCTGAATTCTATTCTACTGTGTGGATGAGCCCTGTGTGGCTTATTCCTTCATCTGCTGGAGTACACGTTGTTCTTCCACTTTGTAGCTGCTGTGAACAGTGTTGCAAGGTGTAAAGGTGTGCACAAGAGATTTTTCACATTCAAGGGGAGAGGCAAGTGTTTGTGAATTTTAAGTTCACGGGTAACATTTTTCTTTTGATTAAAAATCGCATCTTATGATATTGTTGTATTACTGTTTAAAAAATGGCAACATACAGATATACTAGATTTATCTATCTCCATGTAAAGTTCAAGGGGAACAGAGTCCAATGTAACAGGGCCCAGAGAAGTCACCCTGCACCCTCGCCTCCAAGGAGGCACTGGTCTGCACCAGCTTGTTCATCTTTATGGACCTCTGAGTTGAATTCCAGACAACAGTCCACTCAATCTTCCTACAGGGCAGTAATTTGGTCGCCTATGGTCACTTTCTTGTTTAACAAGTGGGGAAGTTTGGACTTCTCTGTGTAGTGTTTTGTATGAGGAATCAAGTGGATTTAGACCTCACTATTCCATGAATGTGAGTAGAGGGGCAGGGAAAAAGAAGCAGACCCTCAATGAGATGGACTGACACAGGGTACGCAACAGAGGGCACAAGCCCGGGGGCGATGGTGAAGCTGGCACAGGAGCCTGCAGTGTATCTATCGTTCTGTCGTGCACAGGCTCGCCCTGGGTTGGAACCACCTTGATGGCACACGACAATAACATGCAGTGAACGAGATCTCCAATCCTGCTTGCTATCTTCTGACAAAGTGAATCAAGGAGAACATGAGCTAACGCCTTCGTGTGGTCGAGATTCAGCCAAGAACTACGTTTGATGGGCTCGCTAAGAAAACGTTTGTGATTCTTCTCTAGAATGTGCTCTGCAGCACTGCCTCAAGAAAAAAAGGAGCTCTCCAGGAGCTTTTGACAGACCCAACAATTATTTTCTAGGAATGATTCTCAGGAGGTAAGTTGGGAAATAGGAGGGATTCCCCCACCCCCACCCCATACTGGAATTGCTCGGGGTGGAGTACAGCTTTGGTAGTGTGCATTTTTCTTGCTAGGAGGGCTTCAAGCAACTTGCTCTGCATTAGTGCATCCAGTGGCATTGCCTGGGAAGGTTCTCTCTGGTCACAGTGAATGTGTTGGTAAAAGCAGTTTTGCCCAAAGCTTATTTTCTTGTGATGGTCAATGTAAGAGTGGCTGTGACATTGTGTTGCCTGCTCGGGAAAAATGCTGCAGAAACCGTTGTGATGCTGAACACAGCTTACGAGGACAGCGCTATCAGAAAAATGCAAGTGTATGAGTGGTTTTCTCATTTCAAAAAAGGTGAACTGACGATGGATGACAAACCTCGTTCTGGACGTCTGCCAACTTCCTGAATGGATGAAAATGCCAACTCTGTAGTGCATTTGGAGTTCGTTCCACCAGGTCAGACTGTTAAGCAAGCTTTCTATTTAGAGGTGCTGAAAAGACTGCTTTGTGGCCGGTTGGGGTCTGGTTTGGCCAACTCAACAATGCACTTGCTCACATAGTCATCTCAGTGCACTAGTTCTTGGCAAAGAACAGCATGCCTCTCTTGCCCCACCCACCTTACTCTCCTGACCTCGCTCAGTGTGACTTCTTTTTGTTTCTGAGAATGAAGAAGGACATGATAGGGCAGTGATTTGAAAACATAGAAGAGGTGAAGAAAAGAACAAGGGAGGTGCTGTCAGCCATCCAAATGGATTGGCTTGAAAAATATTTCTAAGAATGAAATCACAGATTTGACAAATGTATTAATGGTAATGGAGAGTACTTTGAACATGATGAGGTTGTTTTGTAAGCAAATCTAAATACATATCTTTGAAAAAAATAGTTTTTTGGGGTACCCCTTGTATTTTGACCCCTCCTTTTCTGCCTGCAGCTTAGTGAACTAATGCCTTCTTTGGATGAGATACAGGTGGTACCACCATGGAGAACTGAAACCAAGGATGATTTTACGTACAAGAGGAATATTTTCATTATGTTGAATGTTTGAGTAGATCATGGTCCCTATTATATAGTTATTTAATAAGGAGGGATTGTAGCTCAGTTAGTATCAAACTGCGATCACTGTTTTTGATTGACATCACCTAGCTTTTTATTGGTTTTACCGTAAAATCTCATACCCTGAGTTTGTCCACTCACTGAGCTGTTGACCATTTTGTAACCAGACCATGTGGAGGGGATATTATGTTACGTTGTTCAGAGCAAGGTGTTCCAAAGATATGTGAGGAGGAGGAAGAAAATTCAAACAACTCTAAGGGCATGAGATTCATTTTCCTTCACTCTCTAATAGGACAAGCCTTCCTCCTGGGGACAGAACCCCAAACCTGGAGGCTCTGGGTAGGAAGGAGGACTATGGGAGGGACTGGAGGAAGCAGCCCTGATGGCGCTGAGGGTTAGGCATCGAGATGCTAAGCACAAGGTCAGCATTTCAAACCCACCAGCCACTCAATGGGAGAAAGACGAGGCTATTTGTTCCAGTAAAGAGTTCCAGTCTCAGAAACCCCATGGGGAAGCTCTGCTGCGTCCTACAGAGTCACTCTGACTCAGAATTCATTGGCTGATAGGTTTTTGTTTTGTTTTTTAAAGAATGGAAGAGGTAATTCATTAATCTGGGGGAGAAATGGATTTTTCAAAAAGGGTCTAGAAATGAGAATTTAATAGTTTCACTGGAAATTTTGGAACGCGCTCCACTCCCTTTCTCCCTAAACTTCTGGCATATTCTCAACAGATGGAGCCCGAGGTTGGCTCTTTCTCAATGTCTGTTTTGGGAGCGAGACAAACCTGTGGTGAGTCATGCTTCAAGATGGGAGGCTTTATTTTGATTTCCAAGTCTTAAAAAAACCCAAAACGTTGCTCTGGAGGCGAGGATGGCTGCCTGGTGTGACGGGCAGGGTGCTGAGCAATCTGGCGCGTTGTTGGGTGCAGGAAAGGAGAGTATTCTTGCTGGAGACCCTTGATCCCACTCCCCACCCCCAACGCACCCCCCACTCACAGGTGGTCTGGCCATGGTTGGGCCAGGTTGGGGCTGCATGTCCCTGTTGCATTAGACATGGTGGTGGTGCAAAGCTGTGTGTTTGCGGTCCTGCACTTTAACAGCTGGCTGCCCTGCCCACTGCAAGCTGGCCAGGGAAATGCCCCCTGTTCTCAGCATCAGGGACTGCACGGCGTCACTTCTAGCTGCTCAGGGCTGTGGGGACCATTGCTCAGACTTTGGGCCAGAATCCCTGTGTGAGGTCTACCCACCCCTGTGGCTGGGCTAGGCCATGGGTATGTCACCTGGGTGATCCTGCCCCTCTGGCTTGTTACAGCTCGAGGGCACACGGGCCATTGCAACTTCACAGCCCCCTGGCCTCCTCCTCCCTTTGGGCAGGGAATCTCCGCCAGGACTGCAGATTTTTTTCAGGTCATATTGC